TGAAATATTATAGATCAGTATATGTGACGTGTAAACATTTATATAATAAAAGAAATGTGTATTATATTAAGTTTAGTACCGAAAGTGGCAAGAAAGTCGGTTCCGAAACTATCACGTTTTCTGATGGGTGAGGTTAGGTTGTTACGTTCTTACACTTTATCCTGTACTTCAAATCAGTATATGAGACGTTAGACGTTTATATCAGATATTTCATGAATTCAAAACGAAATATTTGCATATATTCTGTCATAAACCTCTACATATTTAAAAGAAATTATGTTATATATAATTTATATTAAAAAAGTTACAAGAAAAAATGTAGACCATTATATAGACATTTTTATCTTTATTTTTATATTTTAGATGTTTTTTGTAAGATGTTGTGTGAGTTTTCTTTTATATCTGTAGTATTACTTTTTGATAGAAGAATTTGTTATTATTGTTACACCGATTTTTTCTTTGTAATTAAATTTTAATTTAACACTGCAAAATTTATCTAAAATTGACTGAGAAATATGATTTTTTAATTTATTATTTCTAAAGATTATTAGGAGAAATATCTTGTTTTTAGTTTGTTTTATTTGAAGTGCTTGAAAATTATGAGGAAGAATAAATTATTTAACTAATTTATATATATTGCCGATTGATTGATATATTTTTATATATCTAGCAAGCAACTCCAGTTTTCTACGGGCAAATATGCACGTTTCGCTGATGGTTGTGCAGTTGCAACTCTGGGAGACACTTCTGTCATGGTTACGGCAGTTTGCCAGCATCACTCAACTACCTCTTCGTTCCTTCCACTCGTCGTGGATTACAGACAGAAGGCAGCAGCAGCTGGTCGCATACCAACCAACTTCCTACGAAGAGAACTTGGACCAAGTGAGCATGAAATTCTTACGAGCAGGGTCATTGATCGATCCATAAGGCCATTGTTTCCAGAAGGATTCTACTTTAACACCCAGATAATGTGTAACATGTTAGCTGTTGATGGCATGAACGACCCTGATATCATTGCCATTAATAGCGCCTCCGCAGCTCTTAGCGTTTCTGATATTCCTTGGAATGGTCCTGTAGGTGCTGTTAGACTCGGAATGATTGATAATGAAATAATAGTCAATCCTACCAGACGTCAAATTCAAGACAGTATGTTAAACCTTATTGTCACTGCAGCTAAACAAAATTTAATAATTATGTTAGAAGGTTCGGCCAATGAGATATTGGAGCAATATTTAAAGAAGGCAATAAAACAGGGAGTCAAAGAATGCCAGAACATTGTAGCAGCGATAACAAAATTGCAAAAGACATGTGGTAAACCGAAGAGGGAAATTACTGAACAACAGGAAGACGATAATTTGAAGAGTTCTGTGAAAGAACTCTCGGAGGAAAAATTACAAGACATATTTTCAAATTATACGCACGATAAGATATCGAGAGATAACGCAGTAAACGATCTTAGACATAGTGTTATCAAGACATTGCAAAATGATAATGCGGATTTGGATGTTAAATTAGCAGAAAAAATCTTTGGAAAAATTGTTAAAAATGTATTCAGGACGTTGATTTTAGAGAAGGATGTCAGGTAGTTTTTCTCGTACTCCTAAATATAAGATATTTATTATCGATCTGCAAATGATGATTGAATTAAGATTTGACGATTTGTAGGTGTGATGGACGTTCACTGAGTGATCTACGCGATATATCGTGTCAAGTAGAGCTCTTTAATCCTCTTCATGGTTCGGCTGTATTTCAAAGGGGTCAAACTCAGGTCATGTGCACTGTGACTTTGGATTCTTTGGAAAGTGCACTTAAAATGGACGCCACTTCAATGTTAATTAGGTATATTAATAAAAAAAATTAAATTTTGATATCATTTTTTTTGAGCTGATTTATTTCGTTTTATGGCATTGCAATTGTATCATGATAAGACCGAGAATGTTATTATTCTAGGGAGATTTTGATTTAAAAATGTAACATAAAAAATTAGACAGTAGTATTGCAAAAAAAATTATGATTCAAGCAAAGATATAGACAAATGTCTGTAGTAAAATATTCGCTACATGCAATCGTTTATAGGTATTCACGATCTACTATTTTTTATCTCTACTTTGATTTCTTTCTGCTAAATGTTGATTATCCATTGAACTTGTTTTATTTAATTTTATTGGCATTTAATAAGTGTTTGAAATTTAATATTTTGTAGCAGTGGCGTTAAAGAAAAGAACTTCTTTCTTCATTACGAATTTCCACCTTACGCGACTAATGAAACGGGACACTCGACTCGAGTTGGTCGCCGAGAACTGGGACATGGTGCTTTGGCAGAGAAAGCCTTGCGACCGGTTCTTCCAAAGAATTATCCCTTCACTATAAGACTGACTAGTGAAGTCCTAGAATCTAATGGTGAGGCGATTGTACAGTGCCCCTGGCAATAAACCTGGTTTAATAAATGCTCTTGTAAGACTAATGCACCAATAACTTTGTAAGTTAAAGTTATGTTTTGCTCTACAAAAAGGTTCCTCTTCAATGGCTACCGTTTGCGGTGGAAGTTTGGCACTGCTCGATGCAGGTATACCAATATCTTCGGCGGCAGCTGGCGTAGCTTTTGGTCTTGTGACTAAATGTAATATTGATACACAAATTGAGGACTACAAAATATTGACTGATATATTGGTACGTATTTACACAGCTATTACACAGTTTAATTAATTTAATTAATTTGGTTACAGAATATTTGCTGCAGTGGATATTCCGTAATAACATAAAAAGTTGTCACTTTGGAGTCGATTATAAAAAAGAAACAGAAACAGAAGAAAAGAAGAAAGAATATATTTTAAAAGAACATATTTTTATTCCTACAATCAGTTATTACATCAAAATTGCAATTTAAAATTAATACTATAGGATTTCATTGATTCATAATATTCAAATTCATTTTCTGAAAAATGTTCTTTTTTGAAATCTGTCGTAACAAATGAGCGATGTAAACATGACATTATCAAAATCGCATAAAGATTACTTTAATTTTTCAAATGAGAATCTATTTTTCATTCCATATTTGGATAATTGAAATCAAGATATATTTAGAACATAGATTGTTGATTCTTTCAAAATAAATTTATCTCAATTTATATCAGGATTAGTATTTAAATCAATAATTTTGATGATTAACAAAAACCTTTGACTGCAGGGAATTGAGGATTATCTTGGAGATATGGATTTCAAAATAGCAGGCACCAAGGGAGGATACACCGCATTACAAGCTGATATAAAGATACCAGGAGTTCCGATGAAAATCATAATGGAGTGTATAAATAAAACAACGATTGCTAAATTGGAAATAATTAAGATCATGAATAAAGTGATACGAGCACCGCGACAAACTAAGAAGGACAAGATGCCAGTAGTCGATAACTTAGAAGTTCCTGTTCATCAAAGAGGAAAGTTTCTTGGGGTTGGCGGAATGAACCTTAAGAAAATATTCTTGGAAACCGGAGTGCACGTAAGATTTTTATGATCCAAAAAGTTCGTGTGGCGATGACTCGAATATCATTAAATTCATAATAAAATTATTTATTACAATTTTATTATAATTTGAGATTTATGTTAAATTTCTTATTTTTATTTTGTCCAGATATATCCGTATAACGAAAACACCTACTCAATATTTGCGCCGAACGAAGATGCTATGACGGAGGCAAAGGAAATGATAGAAGGCATATTGCAAAAGGATCGTGAGCCGATTTTGGAGTTTGGCGCTATTTATACTGCAAGAATAGTAGAAATTCGGGAAGCTGGGGTCATGGTGACGTTATACTCCAATATGATACCGGCATTATTACCTAACTCCCAGTTAGACCAACGTAAGATTCATCATCCTAGTGCTCTAGGACTTGAAGTTGATCAAGAGATACAGGTTAAATATTTCGGACGAGATCCAGTGTCTGGACAGATAAGGATATCACGGAAAGTACTACAAGCACCAACTTCGGTTGCGAAAACTTTACATCGCGATGATGTGGAAAAAACGTGAAATATATGATATATAGAATTAAAATCAATGTATTTGCAATACACATCGGCTATACATGTGTAAAAAAACGCTCTGTATATTTTCCGCCATTCTGTTAAAAAAGTGATCATTTTTATATACAGTTCTTCCTTGTTTCTATTTATCTTGTATTTTTGTACGATACTGTTAAGAATAGAAATATAAAAAAATTGCAGTTAAAACATATTCAACAATGTGTTCTATCTATCCTGCTCATGTATCGTCGATATGAATTACTCGTCGATATGAAGATTTAATGGACTTTACAAATGTAGAATGTCTAACACGATGTCTTAAATTTCTTTGTCAAGTTCATAGAAAGTATAATTGACGAAGGACGAAAATACATGGTTGATTTTTCGATTTTTAGAGATGATTTTCTCTTGAAGACAAAATCTTAAAAAAAAATGGAAGAGATTCTATTCTACATTACTCAATATTATCTTTTCATTTATAATCATAATTCTTAAATATTATGGGTAAAAACACATTAAGTGCAAAAATCGCGCAATAAGTTAAAAATAAACAGAATGATTCTTCCTTTGCTTGGGTTATCTTTTCCTAGAAGTAAAGGAAATAGATAAATTGAAAAATAACAGGATATTAGGATAAGTTAAATTTTCATGTACAGTCAGTAACATAATTCATTTCTTATGTTTTCTTTAATTTTAGATCATATTTTTTGTAGAGAAACAATTTGACAATTTTACATGAAATTTTTACATTATTTTTACATTAAAAGTTGAACAATAAAATTAATAATTAATTACATAACAAGAGAGTTTACTTCTTAAAAAAAAAACAATACTTTTCCATTTATTATGATACTATTCAAAAATATTAACATGATTTTGCCCAATTACGTGAATATATTCCTTTTTTTTTGTAAACGTAATAAATGACTTGACAATCTATATTTAAATCTACATCGTACTTCATGTAATATCTTTTTCATCAATGTAACATTTTTACAATTTCTGATCATGTTGAATACGATTGCACGTTTTCTTTATCACTACGTATTCAAGCGGAGCTCTACGTTCACACTTGGTGCCGTGATTAGCGCGATGTATTTTGAGAGGGCATATGATGACGCTTGCGAGTACATATTCGAAACTATGAATAAAGGGGTATGACTGTAACATTGTTACAGTATATATTCATATACTGTTTATATAATATTTATATATTATATAATATTTATATCTGAAATACTAAAGATATATAAATAAATACTATTCCATGACTTATTGAGTTATGTGTGTGACGATTTTTATCATGAAATGATTAAATTCATCAAAATTAATGAAATTGCTTTATGTTTATTACAGAGGCTTTGGAAAGATATAAAACATCGATATGAAAAGTAAATTATGGAGACTCGATATATACACAATGATCAATCCAAACTTTTCATTGATAATAAAGAAGCTCATTAAGGATTAATGTACACAGATATAATTTAATATATTTTATATTATTGAATTTTAAAATTTATCAAGTTGCTTATTAATATTACTATTAATTGTACACTGTATTTCATAACTGAATCAGATAATTTTAATAACAATAATTACGAAAAAACTGAAATGGTATACAAATGGTGCACATTAAACCAGAGACAAAGGCATTCAACTATTGTTAATATTTTTCTTTTAATTATAACAAATGGATATCCTTAATTACACACGCATGATTTCATCTTATAAATAATGATTAATTACGGAAAAAATCAAATAAAAGTCAATTAAAAGTATCTTAAAATAAGGGATTTAAATAAGGAATTTTTCGATTAAATATGTATTAATAATTATAAACTGTTCAATTATTTCAACACGTATTAAAATATAATAATACAGTTAAATATGGTATTGTAATAATTATGTTTAAGTATAACAATTATAATAATAAATTATTAATAAAAAGTACAATCTGTCTTGTTTATTTTATGGTTGAATGAACATTTTCTATATTTTTCTTTACTTTAACTTTTATTTTAAAGACATGCATAGAAGAAAAATGTGTTATATGATTTCAGTCTTTTTTTCACTTTCTCATCTTATATGCGTTTATGTGATATGAGCGCATCAATGTAACGAGAGAACGGTGTAAGAGGAGATCTTCGTCCGCAGAAAAAGAATTATAGGGCAGAAGAAAATATACGATAGAGAATATTTTAATTTTAAAAGAAACTGATTATGTATTTACAACTTAATTTGAAAAATTAATTAATTTTGTAGATTTTAAAGATCATAAAATATTTAAATCATATTTGTTGCACTATAATTGCAATATTTTTGTGAACATTTGTGATATGTAATCTCTCCAAATTTTAAAAAGAATTTCAAATAGAAATTTTTTACAGTTTTTGTATAGGTATTATAAATATTGCGTGCTTATACACACATACAGAAAAAGTTTCTATTTATTTGATAAATGAAATGCGTCTGTTACATATCTAAATATACTGATTTTGATATAAACTCTATGCTATTCGGAACTTCCGATGATAAAAACATGAGTAAATACTGGATTTTAAGAATGACGTAATGATATAAATAGAAGCTGCAGATTCGAAAGCGCGATATTTGCAAAGAACGTTCAGTGAGAAGCTAATAACTAAAATAATTAGACAAATATTTAGACTTATTCTTGGACAGAATCAATTTATCTTTGAAGGTATGCTATATTTCTACTATTAATTTTTAAAAGTTTATGCGCAAATTTTATTTATTTGTGAAGAAATGATTAAGAAATATTCTTTCATACATTTCGTTACTGTATTATTTATTGTATATTAAAGATATCATTTTTATTATATTTAATATTTAATAATTAAATTTGATAATAACTGAATATGAAATCAATAAAAAGACGACACTAATTTAACAATTTCTTGCTTAGGAAATACGCGTGTGTGTGTGTGTGTGTGTGTGTGTGTGTGTGTGTGTGTGTGTGTGTGTGTGTGTGTATTAGAAAATCTTTAATTTATTTCTACTTAATTGTTATTTATATTTAATATGATGATATTTTTTAACTTTTAATTCCCTTTTTTTGACAAACTGAAAAATATAAAAATTAACTTTCTATATATATATTATTATAATATAAGATAATTTTTTTCTAGTCTATTTATGCTTCTACATATATGTTTATCGGACAATTATGTTTCAATTATTTTGTTTGATATAAAGAATACTTCTCCTAATTCGAGCATTTAAAAGATCTGTTTTTAAATATATGATAAAATATCAAAGGCAAAAATTATTTGTTCCGAGAGAGTAAATATTATACAAAAATAAATAAAAAATTATCATTCGTTATTTAATTACAAATTTTTAATAATTTTAATATAAAACATAATTTCCAAGCTAATTAAAGTTAGAAGTGGTGCTAATGTATAAAAAACGTCGAACAGTATTTTTTTGCTGAAGAAAGGTTGAATTTATAAATGTTAATTCTAATTAATAAATAAGTTTTGCACTGTTCTTACAAATTATATAATGTTATGTAGTTTTCAAACTATACTGAGCATTACAATTTTACACAATATCAAGTTATTTTTTATTATTTTTACAGATGAAATTAATACTATTTGTATTAATGCTTTTATTGGCTGGAAAGCCAACTTTATTACAAGTAACAAATACAAAAACGATATCAGTATCGTCGAAACAATATGAGAATAAGTTTAATGTGAAGATCACCAGCAAAGAAGAAAAAAATTATAATGCAATAAATGAAATTCTTAACTTAGATAAAATGAATCTAAACATAATAAAAAGTGACCTCATTAAGAGTGACGCAATTCGTGAAGTCTCACTTTCACATAATTTGTTGAAAAAAATACCACATAATATTTTGGACCACGTGACATATTTATCGTACTTAAATTTGTCACATAACAATATTAACTTAAACGAGGCTAATGAAATTGTACATCCTAATCTTCGAGTATTAGATTTAAGCGATCAGAGGTCAAATGTCATCAATACCATACCGGAACTGGAAACTTTTGAAGAAACAGAAGATATATATAAACATTTGATTTTTAACAGCTCTAAGATAAGATTACCGAATTTAGAATATCTTAATTTATGTGAAAACGAAATGTCGGCATTTTCATGGAATTTCAATTTATCATTTCCAAAGTTAAAACGTTTAGATTTATGTAAAATTAACGCTAACGAATTAGACCCGAATTTTTTCTATAAAATCTCTACATCGTTACACGTTCTTCATTTGGAGAACAATTATTTTCGTAATTTCACCCTACAAAACGTAAGAGAAATTATCTCTTTATATTTGGACGGAAATATTTTTGAAACACTCTTTATAAATTCGACGACATTGCAAATATTATCATTATCTAATTGCACGAAAAATCTAAGTAAGGGATTTTTCAAAACCCCGTACTTAGAACAACTTGATTTATCCAGGAATGATTTTGGTAATCTGTTTGACGGTACCATTCATTTTGAAATGTTTCCATCACTGAAAGTGCTTTTGTTAGATTATAATCAATTACTATATGTTCCAATTCTGACTAACTTGCAATGGCTTAACGAATTATCATTGTGCTACAATATGATTAAATTCATTAAACCAAACGCCTTTAGGTATTTAACGTCTTTGACAAAATTATCATTAAAAGGAAACAAAATTGACCATCTTGAAAAGGAAAACTTTTTAGGTTTAGAGAAATTAGAATACCTGGATCTGTCGAAAAATCAATTGAGTCATTTATCAATTGATTGGGCATCGTCATTATTAAATCTTAAACATTTAAATGTAAATTCAAATCAATTTGCAAGTATTTCGGAAATAGGTATATATTCAATAAATTCATTGCAGTATTTATTTGTACGAAATAATACCCTTAATAAAATTACAACACTAGAAATAGAACCATTACCGAATTACATTACAATATACTTAGCTTAAGATGATTTATAACTTTTAACACTATGACTATTAATTGATTATTATTTTATATGTTTAGCATGCGTTTATTATTTTACATATGTATAAGTTTCTCTAATTTTTTTATGTATTTTTAATTACATAAGGCGCATAAAAATAATTTATCACGCCATAATTCTTAATTATAATTTCGATTATCTTTTTCTTATAAATATATTACAGATTTATTTCTATAATTGTTATATAATTTTGTTATATAACTAAAAGTAAAAATTATTTATTATATCTGACTGGTCTGTTTATTTAAAATAATAATTTATAGCAACGGTGTAATAAAATACGTACTAAGAAAACCTCTGCATTAAGCTGTTAGTTGATATCGCGCCTACAACTAACTGCTGAGTATGCTGCTCAATTTCTCATTAAAAACAGAACGAACTTTGGCTTGTAGAAGCTATTCTTACTACTAAAAGAACGCATACGAACGCGCTCATGGAATTTTATTTATTAAAAACTAAGTAACTCAACTAGAATTAAACATTTAGATGAAAAATATTTAGAATTCATATACAAAAGACAATAAATAAAATATAAATTAGTTACTGTTATAAAATCTTTATAAAATGTTCAATTCTTTAAACATCTTAAGCCTTATCTTATCATTAAAATGTTAAAAATTATTTATAGGGTCTGTATTTTTCAAAACTTTTTTTCTCACGAAGCTCTAGACTCTAGATGGTTCAGATTATTTATATCATTGGACGTTGATGATAATTAGTATGATAATTGTGTAAGACTAGCCGTAAGAATGTATATAATTCATGAGAAGTCATCTCCATGGCATAAGATACGTTTGAATCGCACGTACTCAGGAAAGTACAATGATAATCTTTGACCCTGCATGAAAAAGGTATGAATATTATACTAAAATATTTCACTATTAAATTCACTACTAAAAAATTTTATCTAATAAATTCACTAAATTTTATCACATTCGATTTTATCACATTTTACATTCTTTTATCTATTCCTTAAATTTTTGTACATTTAATTACAGACATTTAGAGTTCTTTTATGACATATATTTAAATTTAAATTTTAATATGTTTCTATTATACATAAAATAAAATAAATTATAATATACACTATTATATATATAATATATATATAAAATATATATAACAGAAAAGTATAGAAAAGCAGAATCTAAAAAATGAAATTCAGAGAATAAAATTATTTTAAAGAACAATACGTACATGCGAGCATGTATAGTTATTATTATATTATATAATTAAATGAATTATCATATATACACACACACACATATATTCGTCAGAGTTAAATATAACAACATATCTTTTTTTATAAATTATAAGTTTTACTTTATATAAATTGATATTATGGCTTCCAGAAAGGTATTATTAATCAAATATTGAATCCCGAAAAAGCATGGGAATTGTAAAATAGCTACTTAATATATTAAAGATAATAAAATATATCTTTCGAGTTCTACTTGTGAGTGATTTAATTCAGTGAATTTAATACAACATGAATTATTTTTTACTGATGTACGATGCATTATGTAGACGGCCCTGTTATTCGCGCGAAAACAGACCTCCAGCCCCATGAAGACCATTCTGAGTATATATAAGAAGATAACTTTGCCTGCTTGCGACAAAAGGTGTTAGACCACTTGAGTGAATTAATCTGCGAGTGAGAAATATTTAGAAAAGTTCTTTTAACAATTTATAAAAAATTGTAACCCGACATCAAAAAGGTAAGTATCAGAAATTGTTAACATTTATCAAATTATTAAAATTTAATTTTATTTATTATTATATATTTTACATAAAACTTAATAATAATTATTCTGTTCTTTTTTTTATTTTAACTTAACTTGTTACTAATTTATATTTATTATTTTTTTAAATAACTTTTTATATTTAGGCTTAAAAATTAAAAAAAATGAGTTTTATTATTATATTAATTTATTATCACTTTATTTGTCATATTTTACATAAATTTATATTATTAATCAACTAATTTTATTATTACCCTATGAAAATATATTAAATTAATATTATATAAATATATGTGTGTGTGTGTGTGTGTGTGTGTGTGTGTGTGTGTGTGTGTGTATATATTTTTTTAATTAACATAATAATATAAAAATCAAAGATGAGCAAAAACCAAGGGTGTTATAAAAAATTAAATAAAATTTATTATGTCTATCACATTAAAATTAGTGACGTATTTGCTAATTTTAATGTATTGGCTATATTAAATTTTATTTAGTTTTTATAACATCTTTTGTTTTTGCTCGTTTTTAACCTTTATTTTATATTATTATATTGCTTATTATTGTTATCAATAGGGTTGGGTAAGTTAACTTTTTTTTAAATTAAGTTAAGTTAAAGTTAACAGTCTTGAAAATTTAACTTAATTAAAATATAAGTTAATCCATAATAAAATTAATTGAATTAGAAGTTATTAAAAAAAGTAATTGAAAAATTAAAAGTTAAATTTGGTCCGAACGAACAACCAAAAAAAAAGAAAAAGTTTGACCATTTTACCATTAATGTATTTTTCCTTTTTCACAGCATACTTATTAAAGAATCACTGGTTATTTTTGTTCACAAATATAAACAATTATACAATATAAAAGACATAAAACTACTAAATTATATACTTATTATCTCCTTGCATTGTGTCTGAGGGTTGACTTCAAAAAAATCCAATTAAAAGTTAATAGTTACCGATAAAATGTAACTAAATTAAGTTAAAATTAATTAACTTTTTAACTTTTTAACTTAACTTTTACCTTTTTAACGTAGCACTGCCAATCCTGGTTATCAATAATAATTATCCATATTTATTTTGTATTTTTTACTCTTCATTTTTTTACTATCGTATTAATTTATCTATTTGTGTTTTCTTTTTTAGATGACGCTAAGCTACAAATTCACGATTTTTTTCATTTTCACCATTGTGTACCTAGCAAAGACTGAACATAACAAAAAGATTCCTCCTTGGGATTTCAAGCTTAATTTCCCGTCTAATTATCCTTGGGAAGTGACAGACGTTGCGACAAATTTTTCAACATCCACATACAAACCTATTACTTCCACTATCTCAACATCCCCCCAAAATTGCCCTCCTCATAGTCATGTCTTCAGTTTCTCTAATGTCGGTCTTCAAAAAATCGGTCGAGACTTTATTAACAGCAATGATGTTGTTAGCCTTAGCCTCGATAACAATAACATAAATGATATCTCCCCGTTCGCCTTCCGCAAGATGAAGAACTTGAAATATTTGGATCTTTCTGGGAATAATATTCCAAAAGAAAAGCTATTGTTGTTACCAAGAAGCGCCACTCTGCAAATGTTGATTATCGACAACAATCGAGATTCTCATAATCCCGTTACAGAGGCCCTGAAGGAATATGAAGTTTTTCAGAACTTGAAACATCTGCACCTAAGCAACAGTCAATTATGGAATTTTCAAATTCATTTTTATATAGCAACACCTATCTTGACTCATTTACATCTGAACAATAACGGCATCAATTCTAGTGATGCCGTTTTCGATAATATTCCGGCAACGTTGACTCATCTTTATCTAAACAAAAATATTATCGATCGAGTCAAACAAGGCAAATTGAGGTACTAATATTTATTAAATTGTTTCCTTATTTAATTAATATATTTCCTTGCTTATCAAAGAATCTAAAAAATTGAATTTTAAATAGACAGCAATTGATATTTCTGTTATTTCTACCATTTATATTATTGTCATTATTAGTATCTATTATTAATCTATTATATCGTTGCAATTATTAATTTTAAATTGTTATTTTTCTCTGACGAAAATTTTTCTTGGAATTATTTATATAATTTTTCAAAATTTTTATATAATTTTTCTACCTTTTAGAAAATTTCTCAGGTTTTTTAATATGTAGACTTCCTCAACATTTCCAAAAAGTGTTCCAACTTATATTATTAAAAATATTACGTTGATATATTAAATATTACATTAATTTAATACTTGTGGTATTATAAATTGGAATACTTTTCAGAAATGTTGAAAAAGTTTACATTTTTTCTAGAATTTTTTATACATATAAAAGATTATTTTGTATATATCTAAGATTTCTTATTCTATAATTTCTGAAGAAAACTGAAATTTCAAGAAGTATAAGAAGTATATATAAGTATAAATAAGTATTATAATATTTTATAAAATATACATATTACGATATTATATTTGTAATACTATCCAGATAGTCAAGCGTGATGTAGCGTGTTGTGCAAACTAATGCATTGCATGAGTTGTTATATATTTGCTGTACATTTGCTAACATCACAATAGGACATATTATAAATATAACAACATGACTGCTTATATATGTAATCAGTTGTCGAAATTTCTAAAGTAAACTGTCAGCAATGGTGGTACATTATGTTGTCGGCAACATGACAGCAACATGTTAGCAACGAATAATTAATCGTTTCGTTTTGAGCTCATTGCTAACAAAATGCTGACAATATGACAACACTATAGTTGTTGTCGAGGATATTCATGCTGATATATTGCCATCAATCTTGCAATCGCAAGAATTTGAAATCCATTGAGTTTAACGCAACAGACATAATGCTGTCTCACCTTGTCCTAAATTTGTCGAAATTGGTTGCTGCAACATGTTCAGCAAATACACTGCATTGGCTATCTGGGTACACAGAAAAAATGTTACGGTAGTTACAATCAGAAATAATGATAATTTTCGCCCATCAATATATTTGGTTGTAATAACCGTAAGATGGATATATCTTAACAGTCATAACCGTTAAGATATGCTAATCTTACGGTTATCACAATCGTACTATAGTTCTTATAACAAAAAATGTATTGATGGGTGACTTTTAGTGGTAATCGTAGCCATTTTTTCCGTGATAAGTATTATTTTCACCAGAGTTGTCATTGCTATTGCTATTAATTTATTATTATTATTGTTATTAATTATCATTAATTATCAATATAATTATTGCTGTTATTATTGATGATGTTATTTATTTCTTCTTTTTTAATCGTGGCTATTAATTTTAGGCATCTGCAAGAACTCAGTATGGACGACAACGTCATTACTCAAGTGTGTTTTGAGGAATGCGAAGATAAATCCATATCCTTGAAAAGTGCTGTCGAAATGCAGTATCTGTCTTTAGCCAGGAATCTGATCTCAGAGATATCATCCGATGCTTTTAGTGACACGAGTCGCCTGCTAAAGCTAGATCTATCAGGCAACAAGATCTCTGATATAACCAAAGGCACGTTCAATAAAACTATGATGATAAGTAATCTTTCTTTGGCTGATAACATCCTTGTTACTGTACCGGATGTCTGCTCGATCTTGTTCCTGAGGAATCTGGATCTGTCTGGAAATCGCATCAGCGCAGTTCTCTCTGGCACTTTCTGCGTTAATTTGAGGACTCTTGAGTATTTACATCTGTCAAACAATGTTATAACCACTATTGAAACCCAAGCTTTCCGCATTCTCCAAAGTTTGAAGTATCTGGACCTTTCCGGGAATCGTCTCAAGCAACTTCCGGCACATTGGGTATATTCGTGGTACATCCGAGAGTTGCATCTTGAACGAAATAACTTCACCGAGTTGGACAGCATATCGTTGATTAACATTAAGGAGCTAAGAAATATTTATCTTGATGAAAATCCCATGCCAGTATTGACGGTACGATCTCTCCAATTACTTCCAGAACATTTAAGAATACATTTAAAAAATATGCATGTTGAATATAAATGCACACAGTGCACATGCGAGAATGAAGACGATGAGGATGATAAGAATGACGATTATGAGAATAAGAATGATAATGGAAACGATGATAATGATATTAACTCTTCGGATTAAAAAATGTCTTGAAATTTTTAATTATACCTTTTAAATATATCTCGTTCTTAAAAAGATTTTATACGCCAAATGAAATAGACTATCTTGATTAAAGTATACAATTATGGTAAACTTTTCTTATAGTAACTTAAGTTCAATTGTTTTATTTAAAGAAAATGTTTCAAACAAATTTTATATTATTATATGAATATATACATAAAAAATAAATGAAAACAAAAATTCAATATCTCAGTTTACATTAAATAAAAAGTAAATAATAAAATTGTTTACTACTTAGAAAAATATACTTTAAAATACTTTTTATTTTTATTAAAAATATTGGTTTTTTTTAATAGTTTTAAAATATTCCAAACAAAACTTGCTAAATAATAAAATAGTATACTTCAGTTTTAATTTAGCTAATAAATATCTCTGGTGAAATCACCTTTTATTATGTAACACATTTAGCAAGTACTTACATAATATTATAAAAAATTTTGTCTTTTATCATAGATAATTTACCATATAAATAATTAAATTTTAATTTCGTGATACTTACAATTAGTTTTACAAATAGAAATCAAATAATAATCATTATCGCTTTGTAGTGCTTTATATGCTTAATGAATTACGTACTTAAAGCAAAGTACATTATTCGAACTTATCATATTGTCATTGTACTTTGCTAATATTTTATTATACGCTTGATCATTTTATGCATCATTGTGTATTGCTATAATAGAAGATAATTATATAATAAATGCGTGCATAATTATATATTCTTTGCTTGTATGATTTCTAAAATAAAGATATTTTATAATGAACTTATATGTATATATTAGTATGTAAAATTATATCCACGTAAATATTCTCGTATATCCTGTTAATATTAACATATAGACTTATTTAGTTGTCATTTAACTATTTTTTAAATTCATTCATTGAACATTTAATTTATCTCATGAAAACTCATGAAAAGTTGTTCATATTTTTTCAAAGACTATTAAAAAAAATTATTCTAAAACTGAGAGTTTATATTTGTAATATAATGGAACAACAATATGTCTTTTGCCAGTGTTTTTAAAATTTGTTAATGTGATGCATTTGCAATTTTTTTAATTCTTATTATTTCGCAGCATGAATCAACGATAGCGACGTCGCAGAAATAAATGCAAATATGGTGCACGGGAAACGAGCGTAATATTTAAGCTCGTGCATATCAAAATTCCAGAAGTTTCTACGATTTTCACGAAGATGGTAAAATCTTCTAGTTCACTTTTTTTTGCCATTCCGCATTGCGAAGTCGTCCTACAAGATTAAACGCATTTCATGTTGTGTAAAAGTATAGTCAAAAATATTTGTCTTCCGTTGCTTTTAAATTATATATAAATTATGTTTATATAATCATGCACAGCTAGAAATAAAAAGTAATGCTGTGTTACAGTTATTTTTTTTTTAATGACAGCGTTTCTTTTTTCGTAACTGTAACAGTAACGTAGTTTTTTTAGTTAACTAATTTAATAGTTACTTTTTACATTTTAGACATATTTGTGACATAATTTCCATGTATTTAATCTTTAGTTTTTAATTAATATTCGTAGTTCATCATTAAATTTCATACCATCTGTTAATCCATTAATCATTTCAGGTAACTCGATCTATGCGCTTTTCTATTGTAAATCTATTGTAAATTCCTATGAAATTGTAATTCAACTGTAAATCTCTATATATATATATATATATATAATAAGCATTAAAAATCGGAATGTATCAAATGTAATCAGAATTACAATCGTTATCAATTTTGATGAATCATCAATTAATTAATCAAAACATGATCACATTACAAATTCCACAAATGTATTTTAATTACATACATTATTAAATTAACCAAAAAGATTCTGAAAATATCTATTATGAAATTCGCATATATTTATTAATTAAGGATAAATAAAAATGGAAAATTAATTTTACCATGAATATCGATTGATATTCACTTTCATACAATGTAATATTTCGTTAATAATTTACAATTTTGCTAAATGGTTCATAATTTTGAAAGAATTGTTTTTTAATAAAAACTGATAATGGTAATTTTGCATTAAAAATAAATTAAAAATATTTTTATTATAAAATGTAAATTTCAAATGTAAGTAAATATCAATTTCATAAGAACAATAATAATCTTTTATTTTATAAGTGTAATATATAATTAATGACGAATTTCAATAACACAAAAACTTGATTAATAATGATTTCATTGATCGATTGTTAAAATAATCAGAAAGATAATCAATTATTCTGCCTCATAAAAATTCGCTGTACTTGATCTAGAATTTATCCGTGCTAGCTAGATGCAAGATACCGAGGCGAGCTTCTATCTCTTTCAGGGTGTATCTTGCGCACTGGGTGGCGCACATGCGCGATCATGCAGAGAAAATCGAGGTATGAGAAGAGGGCGCGGTACAACGAGAAGGGGATGGACACCCCAGTGTGACAAGGATCGAATTTTAAAGCAATAGCGCATATATTAATTTTATAAGAGGGAGAGATTCATTCAGAAGATGTGCCAAAATTTTAATTCTAATTTCTTGTTTTAATAAATTCTTACATACAACGTTTCATAATTATTTTATAATTAAAATTTGCTTGATTAATTTAAGAAAAGTTTGAATTATTTTTTAAAATATTAATAATACTTGTTTAATAATAAATCATCATGAGAATTTGATTGTAGATATGAAATTGACTTTCTGCATACGTTCCTGGCTTAAAGGATGGAGATGCAATGAGAATGCAAGCTCTAACAAGAATAGAAAACGTGGGGAGGATGAGCAAAAGCACGGGTAGTTCGGGAGAGAAATGGAAAGGATCTAAGAACGACAAAGATAATGACTCTAGAAGGAGAGAGGCAATTTGAATAGATTCATTTAGAACGATAATAATTAAAATTACATTATTTATGAGACTCACCTTTTATTAACTAAAAGTATTATCAGGAAAACTTTAAATTAAATTTATATAAGGCAAAGAAAGATATAAATTTAAAAAATAATTTTTAAAAGAAGCTGTCAAGTTCTGGAATTACTAACCAAAATATTTTAAAAATAAATAAATTACAGATATACAATATAAAGTTTTTAGTTACATAATTAAATTAAAATTTAAATATTAAAGAAATATTCTCTACATTTATTTAAATAATTTTTATTGAGACAATAAACGATCTCCTTTTTTTCTTTCTTCCCCATGCATATAGTCTTATATGCTTTTACAAACTCTTATGATAAATTATATATTTTCTCTCGATATAAAAATTGTTTATATATTATGAAAATATGAATATATATAAACATAATATGAAGAAGACGGAAGTTTGTATATCCACCCCCCCCACACACACACACGTTTTTACATTTTATTTTTTAAATAAAAGTTATTATTTTTTAAATACAAAAGCTTGTATTTATATACAACATTCCTGACATATTTAAAAATAGAAAATTATCTATCCTTCTATATTATCACTTTCTTTTTTTATTCTTCATTTTCTACATCCTATATTTATACCATTGTCCTTGTTGAACCCTAACACTCCTTTACCTTATTTTTCCTTTCCTTCTTTTCTTTTTTCCTTTCTTCTGTTTATCCCCTTCTCTGTTATGTACAATTCTTTGTATAAAAAACTATTTTTGATTTAGCACTATTTATTTTTTAGACGCAGATTTAAAAAAAATGTTATACATTATGTGACATTGTTTGTTTGCATTTGTCAGACACAAAGTCAAATTATTTTATTAGAACACAGAAGTTACATGAGAAATTTGCCGCTGTGTATAGCCACCCCTGATATAAAATAAGAGAAAAAGAGATAAAAGAGGGGCAAGAAAGGGAGAAAGGGACGGAGAAAGGGAAGGGGAAAAAGATAGTGTTAGGGTTCGACGAGGACAATGATATAAATACGGGGTGAAGAAGCGAGGGATGAAAAAGAGAAGTCTCTAGAAAAGGATAGCTGTATTTTTGTTACTCTGTATAAATGAATACAAGATACTCCTGCGCCATTTAAAACGTAACTCGAGAGACGCGCATAGATACGGCGGCATTTCTTCGGGAAAACGATGCAAACGGAGATACCGCCCGTGAGTTCGGAGGTATTGTCGGTTCGGCGAAGTCGACAAGGAGGGTAAAACACTTGATGTGATGAAGTAGGCGAGGATGGAGATAGGGGCGACGAGGGCGGTGGTAACACCTAGTTGAGTAGACGAGGACGGTGGCATCGTCAGCCTGGTGGGGTGGAGAAAGACGGAGGGATCGTCACAATAGTGAAGTTGACAAGAAGGGGAATACTACCGATGCTGTGAACTGGATAGGGACGGAAGTACCGCCGAGACAAGGTCGGCGATACCGTCGGCATGATGGAGAGAACCGAGATAGGAGTATCGCCGGCGCACTGCCGTCGACGAGGACGCGACTAGAGCGATACGGGAGAAGGCTAAAGGGCGAGAGGAGGAGGGCAAAGAGATGGGGTGGCCACGTCTGGCTAGCTCGAGACACCACTCCCCACTCGGTCTGGCCGCTCTCTCCTCTAGCCTCTTCTCTTTCTCTCACTTCTCTTTCAGTGTTCGTTCGAGCGCGGCCCGGTACGGTTCTGTTACCCCGTCATGTCAGAGGGTCCGCTTTCGTGATGGGAGCTCACTGCCGCGGTAATATCGGTGGGTGCCATCGGTAGCCGATTCCCAACGCCGATATACCATTCTCAGTGTCATCCGTGTGGTACTAGCTTGTCTTTCCGGGGGTGCGAGCGAGCGTGCGTAAAGAGAGGGGTGTTAGCAGGGCGGGAGTGCGTGAGTGCAGGGAAGGACAGGGCAGTGACACACAGACAAAAATACTTCAAGGCCAATTTGATGGGGATTACAATGTCGAAGATTTGATTAGAAGACGAAATTAGTCAGTAAGAAAGCTGAGGGAAAAATTAGCTGGTACAAAATTGCAGCTCGATGGTATTATCGCTGTTGCCCGCGACTGGAGTAGTTCCGAAACGTCATCGCCCTTCTTTCAGCAAAAACAAACACGGCT